GAATATCAGAGGTCAGTATCCATATATACAGAAGTATGTAGTTCTAGATCTGATATGGCTGTTTATATACATTGATAAAAACAGTGGAGAATATCAGAGGTCAGTATCCATATATACAGAAGTATGTAGTTCTAGATCTGATATGAATGTTTATATACATTGATAAAAACAGTGGAGAATATCAGAGGTCAGTATCCATATATACAGAATTATGTAGTTCTAGATCTGATATGAATGTTTATATACATTGATAAAAACAGTGGATAATCTCAGAGGTCAGTATCCATATATACAGAAGTATGTAGTTCTAGATCTGATATGGCTGTTTATATACATTGATAAAAACAGTGGAGAATATCAGATGTCAGTATCCATATATACGGAAGTATGTAGTTCTAGATCTGATATGGCTGTTTATATAAATTGATTAAAACAGTGGAGAATATCAGAGGTCAGTATCCATATATATGATTTTTGGTGTTTTCACGCCACTTTTAAGCACCGCTTTTGGGCTATTTCGTGGCGGCCAGTTTTTATTGGTGGAGGAAGCCGGAGTGCCCGGAGAAAACCACCGACCTTCGATAGGAAAACTGACAATCCTAGTCAATTAAGATTGGAATCGATTGCACCCGCACGAGCGGGGCTCGAACCCACAACCTCAGTGTTGACTGGCTAGTGATAACAGTAGTAACTACTTAGACCACTCGGCCACTGAGGCCCCCTATATACATTGATAAAAACAGTGGAGAATATCAGATGTCAGTATCAAAATATATACAGAGGTCAGTGTCTATATATAGGCAGAGGTCTGGGGGTCTTGTTCAGATGCACTCTTCCACGATGTATATAGACAGATATCTATTGGTTAATAACTGATTTGGCTTTATATATGTTTACATCAAAAAATTCTTGAAAATCTCTGAGGTCAGTTTCAGTATATATACCAGTGCAGAATACTGTAGGACTAGATCCAATTTGTGATTTATCTATCTTGTTTAAGACATTGGATGATTGTAGGGGTTAGTTTTTGTTTCGAAGCCAGTAGGTCTTAGTTGTCATATTTAGCTGATTTATATATATTTAGGTCTGTATCAATGTTCACATAGTTATAACTGCTGCATATACAAAAGTGGAAAAATAATTAGAATCAGAAAGTCATTAAATATGTGCATTTGTTAAAATCCTTCAATAAATAGTATTTGTCAAAAATCCTTTTTAATCGATGACAAAGACTTATATAAAAGCTGTCTCATCATTATAGGAGTATTTATTTGTATGTCATAGAGATAGTAATGATCATGATAACTTCTCTGTCAATTTCTTTTATCTGAATATTACAGATGAGATCCAGTCCCTATTAAAGGCTCTGGTACAGTTCCATTTTGATAAACAAGCTGTTGACTTACAGAAGAAGTATATCGACTGTCTGTCTGATATAGAGAAAGCTATTCCAGATATATGGAGTGATGAAGCTACAGAAAATAGAAACGAACCTGTAAGTTCTAACAATTAGGGCTGTTCCACAAAAAACATACATTTTGCTTTCTCACTTCTTACTTGTTATCACACACACCTCACTGGAATGTTGATATAAATAGATCATCGCTATTTTGTGTATTTTTCCTTTGAGATAACTTTTCATATCATGCTACTTGCTTGAGATAGAAAGTTATTGTCAGAAATTAAAGGTGCAATTGCTGTTGTCTATGTGAACATCAATGACGTCATTGGCAACATAGTGAATAACAGATTATCAATGGTCTTTCAAACTCAAGGATATTTTTAGGCCACATCTCATCTTAGGGATGTCGCCCTTCAATGAGATTGTAGCTGAGAAACACCCATCTTGTTTGCAAAACCATGGATTATCTATAAATATAGCCATACATTTTGTTCATCCACTCAACCATCTATTACATTTAATCATGAGAAAAAGATATAAAATGTAAACAAATTTTGTGATATGATTGTAAAAAATCTGTATTGGGAATTTGCATGTTTAAAGGTAATTGTTTATGTTATAAGAGAGTAGTCTTTTAAACTCTTTGACTTCAGGTACTAGGACCTATGACAACAGCTAATTCTATAGCACAAGCAGTGCAGAGAGGTCAAGTTGTTTCAGAGAAACAAGGTAAGAATAACTTCCTTACATTTCTATATATTTCAAAGTAATTGTAGTTATTGATTTTTTTTCAGTTACCTCTGAAGATTTTTTTGGACTTTACACAAAATGTTCAGATGGAAGGTATTCCAATTTATAAACTCTGAAAATAAATTCCAACATGAAAACACACACACTTATCAAGGTAAAAGATGATCACTGAAAAGTTTTTTGGGCAATTCAAACTCACATCAACTAGAGGTGATATCAGACTTTCTGGAATGGTAAATAGATACTACTTTGTATGTGGCAATCATTTTAAGGTCTCAAAGTTGTTTTATTCATACATATGTACATGAATACAAAGTTTTTTGTCTCGCCTTGACGGAGTCAAAAAGCGAGACATAGGTATGCTGTTTCCGGTGACAGCGACGGCGTCAACAATGTATTAGTTTGTGATTAGGTCTAGTTCATGGTGAACCACTAGTGGTAGGTCAATGATATTTGGTATGCAGTTGTATTAGCATTGGCACATCTTATTACCATGGAGATTATTTGGCCCCGCCCCCTCAGTCAAGGTCTATTGACTTTGAAACTTTTCATAGTTTACATGTATTAGGGACGACATCAAAAGTTCAATGTAGGATAAAAAACTTATTCACATAGTTTTTTCACTGACCCCCCACCCCCCCTCTTAACTTAATTTGGGAAAAGTTGATTGACCAATATGGATATATGTAAAATCGATTTTGGATTAACAAAACTTGCGGCAATTTTAACCCCCCCACCCCCAAACTATTTGATTTAAGTTTGTTATCCTACATTGATCTTTTGATGTCGTCCCTTAGTTTGTGATTAGGTCAATTTATGGGGAACCACTAGTGGTAGGTGAATGATATTTGGTATGCAGTTGTATAAGCATTGGCATATCTCATTTCCATGGAGATTATTTGGCTCTGCCCCCTTAGTCATGGTCTATAGACTTTGAAAATTTTGGTAAGTTAACATGTATTAGTTTGTGATTAGGTCAGTTCAAGGGGAACCATTAGTGGTAGGCCAATGTTAATTGGTGTTCAGTTGTATAAGCATTAGCACATCTCATTTCCATGGAGAATATTTGGCCCTGCCCCCTGAGTCATGGTCTATTGACTTTGAAACTTTTGCTTAGTTTACATGTATTAGTTTGTGACTAGATCAGTTTAAGATGAACTGCTAATGTTAAGTCAATGATATTTGGTATGCAAATGTATTGGCATTTGCAAGTATCGTTTCCATGGAGATTATATAGCCCCACCCCTGATCATGGTTCATTAACTTTGAAACTTTTACACAGTTTACAAGTTAATGTTTGTGTTTAGGTTTGTTTAAAGGGAACGACTTATAATAAGTCAATGGTATTTGGTATGCAGTTGTATTAGCATTGGCACATCTCATTCCATGGAGATTGTTTAGCCATGTACCTTCAGTCATGGTTCATTGACTTTGAATATTTGCATAACTTACATGTTAAAGTATTGCTATTTTAATTTCAACATTTGCATTATCAAAATTACAAAAAGGCGAGACATATCTCTGTGATAACAGTTTATTTACTAATTGAGCCACTTTTACTTCAATACTAGTAGTTTAACAATATAATATTCATGCTCATGCATATTAATTGAAAATACAACTCACCATAAATTGGATTAAAAAAAGTTAAAGTGTACTTGTACTTATTTCGACAAAAGAAGAATTCATGCAGATTAATGTTTTTCTCATCTGTTTACAAAACTATTATGGCATCATTCTAATTTTTTTTCAGATCCAATAATAAGGATAGCACCCACGTTAAACAAGGATAAGAAATGGAAGCTTTCAACACTGGACTGTGGGAAAAGCTGATCAAGTGCAATATACTCTCATTTGTGATTGACTGTGATGTTAAAATATAAGGGAATAAAAAAAGAAAAGAACCTTATTGTTATTCACAAGGCCAAAAAGAGATTTCTAATCTATTATTCTTGGTTGTTGTTTAATTTGGTCATCTGTCTTTCATCAAATTTCATTCTCTGAACCATTTGGTCAAATGAACCATTTTGTTAGTGTCTGCTTTCATGTTAGGTAGCTTTGCATTTTTGCTAGATTCATCAAGATGAGAATGTCAGGGTTTATCATGTGATGTTGATGTTACTGTGTTTTCTTAACCTGTCATACTGTTAGCATAGCTTTTTCAGGAATACTGACTGAAACAATTTTGGAGCAAATTATCTCCCTTGCAGTGAAGTTTGAAACAAAAGAAGATTGTTGCTGGCTTTAGTTAGACTGAGCTGCTGAGGGAAATGAGCTCAAACAGTTTCATACTCTTAAGATTGCAATAACTCAGATGACAATTACTGGTTGTTGCTCCTGACCACAAAGCTACAGATAGGAACTATCACTTCTTTTGTTCTGCGTTATTGTAGTCCATGTCACAATTTGTTAATCTGAAAGTTCTTGAAAATAGCTTGACAGATAATCATTTCATTGGCAACATTATTAGACAGTTCAGCATTCATATCAACATGTAAATCTATTAATGATTTCACTAATTTTCTTTTGCATTCAGGGGTCAATTTCAGGGTCATCCACACAATCGATTAATTGTTGGTATGGGTTTTGCTCATTATTGAAGGCCATACAGTGACCTTTAACTGTTAACATCTTTGTCCTTTGGTCTTTATAAATCGGTGTCTCATTGGCAATCATACCACATACTGTTTTTTATATTCATGCTGAGTGGAATTTTAATGGTTTAAAAGGTGACAGTTGAAGGAAGACATGTCACGTCAAACATAGTACTGGTATTTCGGATTCTGTGCCAATCAGTCTTGGGTTTGACTTCTAAATGTTGCATGCTCAGTGAAGCAGCAAATACCAATTTTCTATTTCACTAAATAGTTTTAATTAAAACCAACAGAACTAATAATAAATATACTTATAATATTGCACTATTTAAAAAAATATATATATGTCTACAAAACATGTATGGTAATACATATTATGAACACAAGTATATGTTTGGAATGAAAATTTCAAAGGTTTTTATCAAACAATTCCACTGCCCATCAGAACTTCCTTCTGGAAAATCTGGTTCCTCTTGATTTTCTGTAACTCAGCATTCTGAAAAAAACAGTGGACCATTTCTAAATTTAACCTCTATGTAATATTTTGTGGACTCAATAGAACTTGTTTTTTGTTTTAATTTTCTGTTGTTGAAAGAAAGAGTTACTTTTGCTGTGATTCTTAACTTCTGGTTTCATCATTTTCCAAAATGACTATAAACATTAATTTTTAATTTTTTACACTTTGTAAGAAATCCACAAAAATTATTTCTTTCTTATAATATAATTGAATCCACAACTTATTAATAAAAATATTTAGAGTTTCAGAAGCTTTCCATAAATACTGATTGGTTATGTCATAGTTTTATGAGTTTATGATGACAATTGTGGATTGATAATGTCAGAGTTTCACATCACAAGTAAAGGTAAATCATAACAAATGTGGATAGAGAGATTCACACGTAAAGGTGAATCATAACCAATTGTGGATAAAGAGATTCACACGTAAAGGTAAATAATAACAAATGTGGATTGAGAGATTCACACGTAAAGGTAAATCATAACAAATGTGGATAGAGAGATTCACACGTAAAGGTAAATCATAACAAATGTGGATTGAGAGATTCACACGTAAAGGCAAATCATAACAAATGTGGATAGAGAGATTCACACGTAAAGGTAAATCATAAAAAATGTGGATAGAGAGATTCACACGTAAAGGTAAATCATAACAAATGTGGATTGAGAGATTCACACGTAGAGGTAAATCATAACAAATGTGGATAGAGAGATTCACACGTAAAGGCAAATCATAACAAATGTGGATAGAGAGATTCACAAGTAAAGGCAAATCATAACAAATGTTGATAGAGAGATTCACAAGTAAAGGTAAATCATAACAAATGTGGATAGAGAGATTCACAAGTAAAGGTAAATCATAACAAATGTGGATTGAGAGATTCACAAGTAAAGGTAAATCATAACAAATGTGGATAGAGAGATGAGATTCACATGTAAAGGTAAATCATAACAAATGTGGATTGAGAGATTCACAAGTAAAGGTAAATCATAACAAATGTGGATTGAGAGATTCTCAAGTAAAGGTAAATCATAACAAATGTGGATAGAGAGATGAGATTCACACGTTAAGGTTAATCATAACAAATGTGGATTGAGAGATTCTCAAGTAAAGGTAAATCATAACAAATGTGGATAGAGAGATGAGATTCACACGTAAAGGTAAATCATAACAAATGTGGATTGAGAGATTCACAAGTAAAGGTAAATCATAACAAATGTGGATTGAGAGATTCACAAGTAAAGGTAAATCATAACAAATGTGGATAGAGACATTCACAAGTAAAGGTAAATCATAACAAATGTGGATTGATAATGTCAGAGTTTCACAAGATCTGTATTATGTTTAAGGAATAAAACTTTACCTTCCAACAAATGACCAAGCTATCCACACCACAAGATACCATTATATCATCTCCACCATCTACTGCCATCTATTAATAGAATAGTGAATGGTGAATATCAATATTTATATATTTATATAAATGAAGTTCCAATTCAATATCTCGAATTGGAACTTATCTGACTATTTGATTCATCAGAGGGTTGATTTATCCAAGGTCATGAGTCTTATCATGTTTTCCTGTTTCAATATTGTATCTTATATTGTCAATCAGTTTGTCAAAGTTGCAGACATGTTTTATATTCAAATAATTTAATTTCATAAAAACGAGACAGATTAACAGAAAATGCTTGATAATTACAATGTCAATACATGTATAAAATACAAATGTACTTTTTGGATAAAATGTTTTGTTGGAGATGTATGTACCAGTATGTAACTTTCTCCTTGAGGTGAAGTCCATAATTATCTCTGGTGAAATGTGTTCAAAAAACAAAAATTCCCACATGGTTCATAACAAAGGGTCGACGAAAAAAGAAATTTACGTGCCATTCTGATTGTAATACTAACAAATTAACTGACCTAATTATAATTACAGGCCTTATTGTGTTGCACAATAATACCAAATGATTTGAATATTTGAAATTTTCTTTAAACTATACCAGGATTGACGAAAGACTCTGACTCAGTTGAGTTTTCACCACAACTGAGTTTGACTGTAGCAATATATGTTTGATTAATTGAATTGTTATTTCATGGATTAACTCTTGATTTTTTTTTAATCCATTTCAGTGTTAAGCAACTATTTTAAAAAATAATTCAAAATATTTGTAATAAATCTCAGTGATTGTAATTCATAGTATAAACTGTGATAAGAGATAGGTAAATGTATTATTAGTTGCTGTCGTTGCTGGCCTTTGAAAATTGCTACAACTATGTAAAAGAACATCTTTGGTGTTGCAGCACCTTTTTTAATGACCATCTAAACAGCTAGCCACACCTTAGATAAAGGCTAATTTGTTAATGCTATGTTTGTTTTAACATGTTATTCAGATGCATAGCTTCGCATTAGATCACATAAAAAGAGAAGTGGTAGCATGATACTAGAATGTTTTATCAAAAGGAGATTGTGGGTTTTTTGGGGGGATTTGGATTTTTTTTTAAATAATTTTATCAGGCAAATGATATAAATGTTATCCTTACATTAACAGCACCAGAATGCGCCAGACATTCCCCTATCAGTGCAGGTTCTGGTAGACTGTTGCTCTTCATATCATTATCTATTGCACCAAAACTAAAAATACACATTTTTATTCACATTGTGCAATCGTTTATAATAATTATATCACAAATTTATAGTCAAGTACCAAAATCGTAATAAAAACTTGTAACTTGTTTTAATATACGGTATAATCTGTAACTGTATGTGTCTACTATTGTATTCATCTAAGTCTGTTTTCAAATCGATAAATTTCTTACCATATGCAATATTTAAAAAAACACAAAAAATGTACATGAAAATGATATTTTCAATAGAACTACAATTAACAAATGTATCGTATGGGTCTGTCATTGTCTTCCTCTCATGGGCAAAATTATACTTTGGTGAAATTAACATATTAATAAAAATAAAGAGCTGCGCCATGAGCGCATGATACGCCCGTTGATATTTCAAAGAATATAGTTCCATAACTCATAAATGTCATATCAGAAATTTATAAAAAAGAGGTTATTTTAATATTTAAAACAGTCACCAAATTTTCATGAAAACTGCTCAAAGCACTTTTGAGTTATTGTCCTAAAACTGGAAAATCCACCCTTTTTAATGAATAAAATCCCATAACTCAGAAATGTAAAATCTAAAATTTATAAAAATTGAAAGGGAGCTTACGTCAATAGGTATAAACAATTCACCAAAGTTTCACGAAAACTGCTCAAAGCATTTTCCATATATTGTCCGAAAACTGGAAAATCCCCCTTTTTTAGCTCACCTGGCCCGAAGGGCCAAGTGAGCTTTTCTCATCACTTGGCGTCCGTCGTCCGTCGTCCGTCGTCGTCCGGCGTCGTCCGTCGTCGGTGTAAACTTTTTACATTTTGAACTTCTTCTAGAGAACCACTGAATGGAATGAAACCAAACATGGCATGAATGTTCCTTATGAGGTGCTGACCAAGTGTTGTTACTTTGTAGCCGATCCATCATCCAAGATGGCCGCCAGCGGTGGACTTAGTTTAACATAGGACCCTATGGGAAATACATACAAATGTCTTCTTTTAGAGAACCACTGAATGCAATGAAACCAAACATGGCATGAATGTTCCTTATGAGGTGCTGACCAAGTGTTGTAACTTTGTAGCGGATCCATCATCCAAGATGGCCGCCAGCGGTGGACTTGGTTTAACATAGGACCCTATGGGAAATACATACAAATGTCTTCTTTTAGAGAACCATTGAATGGAATGAAACCAAACATGGCATGAATGTTTCTTATGAGGTGCTGACCGAGTGTTGTTACTTTGAAGCCGATCCATAATCCAAGATGGACGCCAGCGGGGGACTTAGTTTAACATAGGACCCTATGGGAAATACATACAAATGTCTTCTTTTAGAGAACCACTGAATGGAATGAAACCAAACATGGTATGAATGTTCCTTATGAGGTGCTGACCAAGTGTTGTTACTTTGTAGCGGATCCATCATCCAAGATGGCCGCCAGCGGTGGACTTAGTTTAACATAGGACCCTATGGGAAATACATACAAATGTCTTCTTTTAGAGAACCACTGAATGGAATGAAACCAAACATGGCATGAATGTTCCTTATGAGGTGCTGACCGAGTGTTGTTACTTTGTAGCGGATCCATCATCCAAGATGGCCGCCAGCGGTGGACTTAGTTTAACATAGGACCCTATGGGAAATACATACAAATGTCTTCTTTTAGAGAACCACTGAATGGAATGAAACCAAACATGGCATGAATGTTTCTTATGAGGTGCTGACCGAGTGTTGTTACTTTGAAGCCGATCCATAATCCAAGATGGACGCCAGCGGTGGACTTAGTTTAACATAGGACCCTATGGGAAATACATACAAATGTCTTCTTTTAAAGAACCACTGAATGGAATGAAACCAAACATGGCATGCATGTTCCTTTTGAGGTGCTGACCAAGTCTTGTTACTTTGAAGCTGATCCTTCATCCATGATGGCCGCCAATGGGGGGACTTCCTTTAACATAAGACCCTATGGGAAATACATACAAATGCTTGTTCTAGAGGTGCACTGAATGGAATGAAACCAAAACATGGCATAAATGTTTCTTATGAGGTGCTGATTAAGTGTTGCTACTTTGTTGCCGATTTACTGTTCAAGATGGCCACCAGGATTTTTTATTAAATTACAGGACCAATATTAAACCAAATTTGGCCTCACTCATTATTAGGGTATCTGTTATGATTTTAATCTATTTTTACATGATTTCCAAAACCAAAGTAGAATCAGGTGAGCGACACAGGCTCTTGAGAGCCTCTAGTTAATGAATAAAACCAAATAACTCGGAAACATAAATCTAAAATTTATAAAAATCGAAAGGGAGCTCACGTCTATAGATAAACAATTCACCAAAGTTTCATGCAAATGAGTAAAAGCATTTTTGAGGTATTGTCCGACATGTTGTCGACGGACGGACGGACAGATGGACAAAAGTATACCATAAAACGTCCCGTAAACGGGTGTATAAAAATATGCCTTCTCATATTATATCATGTGCATGTATATGTGTCAATTTTATGTCGGGTGGTGTAGGTTGATTTTTTAAACGTTTTCTTATTGGGTAAAACGTTATCCCTTTGATACAAACTAGTCTCATCATAACCAAGTGTATATTATGCATAATTACTACTGGACATTAAGTACACATCAATCAATCAGTTTTACCTTTTGTTGAAGAATCTCTCCATTACACCATGGAATACTTGTGTATCATTCTGTCGATCAGCAATTTGTCCCCAAAGTCTGATACTTCCATCTTCAGAACTTGTAGCTAGCAATGTTCTATAAAGGATTGATTTTTACATAAAAAGTTAATCTAAACATTTACATTATCCTGCAAGTGGCTAACGACTGGTATTGTACAAGTTTAAGAAATAAACAATAGCTTTATTTGTGTAGTATACACATACAATCTCCTGGCATCCAGCTTATACTGATGAATTGATATAAAATAATTTCAGCTTAAAAATGCTGAAAAGTAACACTTATTTTAATATTTAAGGTAATTTTTCATCAAGAAGAAATCCACTTTGCATGATGTTTAAACACCCCCCCCCCCCCCCCCTCCTTCTCCCCCTTAAAAAAAGTGAACAAATGGTTATTGACATCATTAAAAACAAAACATTTTTCCATCAGCTTGTATACCTTATTGTCTTAATGTACTAAAAATCTATTGATATAAGATGGAACTTTCATTCACAAAAATTTGCACATTTTCTTAATTTAGTTTTTATTAGAAGAAAGCTTACTGTAATTTTTCATATAAAAAAGTTATATCTGTACATCATTTCTCAAGTATAATGAATTTAACATTGTATAAGGTGAATGTACTTACTGGTTACAGACGAAAGTTAGATGTAGTATCTTGGAGAAATGGGAAATATGTGGTTTACATATAATCTTTTTCATCTTAATATCAAATATAGCAAATCCTGATCCAACAGCTGCAACCAGAAATCTCTAAAATATAAAATTAAATTTACAAGAGGCACACCAAAGCCTGTATCCCTCACCCTGTGAAAAAGGACTAGTCTGCTTATGAGGACTTTTATATGCACATTTGTTACTAATCATTATTACACTTTAGGTGTTTAACCTACCTCCTGTAGTAGTTCTAGGATAACAGGCAAAACTGCAAAAAAACAATCAAATCAAAATTTCAGGGGCAACACCTCCAAAACAGTTTTTAAAATTTTCACAATAACAGCTGAAAACTGCAAAAATAGGAAAAATTACACTGTTGTTGGATTTTTCTCCAAATTTTCAGGTTAGATACATCTTGTGCTGATTTTTATACCCCCGCTTCAAAAAAGTGGGGGTATACTGTTCTACCTCTGTCTGTCCGACCGTCAGTCCGCCCATCCGTCCGTCCGTCCCATGAATATTTTTCGTCGCATCTTTCTCAGGAACTTCATCATAAGGATTTCTGAAATTTGGTTTCAGGGTTTATATAAGTCAGCTATACCGTGTGATGTGTTTTCAGATTCATCACTCAACAACAAATGCATATTTGGGCTGGGGGTATCATCAGTGAGCAGTAGCTTGCAGTTTCACTTGTTCTTGTTAGTTTGTATAGTTATTATTACCTGAAATTAAAGATGCAAACAAATATTTTTAAATGAATACTTCAAAAATGGATCAAAATTAGAAAAAAACATTGAGGGATGGATGTTATTTACTATGCAACATAACTTATTAGGACAGAACTTGAATTTCTTTACAAGTCCACTCAGTACCAAATACATCAAATCCTGATACCATGGTCTCAAAATGTGCATTCATTTGTAATTTGGCAAAAAATATTTAACAGGTTACACTTTAAAAACAAATAATTATGGTTTCCAATTACATTCTAAGCATTTATACTTTCAATTCGCTTCAAACGTGACTTTCAAAGTTTTTTTTTTTTTTGACGATGTTTTTTCATGTCCTTTGTGCATTTGAATTTTGTTGGGAATTAAATCTATGTCAGTAGATAGAGAAAATGGATGAATATCTTGATTGGGATAATTTTCATATCAATATAAAATAAATATGATAAATTATCAAATCAAAATATATATATATATGTGTAGGTAGGTAGGGTTGAAAAATGTACATTTGAATACAGAGAGATGTTTGAAAAATGTCAAGCAGCCACAATGACCTTGTTGGTTCACAAATGAAGGTATTCAATTTGACCATAAACATGTGAATGGTGTCAATAATTAGCATATAGTAAAAGAGTTTTTCCAGTAATGGAAATGATATGAATTTAAACTTATTTACATCACAATGTTATATTACCTGATCTGCAGAGATCATGTCCTGTATACTGTAGGGATAGTCAGAGTGATCTCCCTTGTATTTCTCAGGTGATGTAAACTGTAGTATTGTTTGATAAGTTTCTGATGATAAAACATAGATGCATCCATCTAGACAACCAATTGCAAACATGGTTTCTACAAAAATAAAACAGAAATGATAACATGTGTAAACAGTAAAAACCTTTAGAACAATTTATAAGATTACTTCAAGACCTTTATAAAAATAAGGAGATGTGGTATGATTGCTAATGAGACAACTATCCATTACAGTTCAAATAAAGTGGGTGTAAGCAATTATAGCCAACTGTATGAAAAACCCATACCGTATAGTTATAGTTAGCTATAAAAGGCTCCGACATGAAAAATATGAAACAACTCAATTGTGAAAACTAACGGCCTAATTTATAACAAAACAATTTACGAAAAACAAATATTACAGACATGAACTAACGACAACCACTGAACTACAGGCTCCTGACTTGGGACAGGCACATAATGTGGCGGGGTTAAACATGTTTGTGAGCGCGCAACCCTCCCCTAACCTGGGACATTACCCCATCCAGGTAAGAATTATCAAAAGGGAATTACCACTTACCAAATATATCAAGGGATTATTCTATTTTAGTTTATGTTTAATATATAGTATTGTCATTTTTGTGACTTTGAGATATTTTGTAGGGCCAGGTAAGATCTTTTAAAAATCAAACAAACACACACACAGCTATTACCCCTGTACATCAAAATGCAATGCTAATAAGTTTTATGCCCCCACAGTAGATTGATCAAGCTTATTTATACAACGTTTGTTTTCCTTAGCAGTCACTTTCAAATTTCTGTAACTGATTTGATGATGTTTGTGAATTTTCTGTGAATTTTTAGATGCTTATCATTAGCAATATTGCTAAAAACAGCGTGTTAAATTTAGATGCATTATTATCTGCCCTTGCTTATGTATCAGATGCCCTTCAAGGGTCATTAAATGACTTACTGCAGCTGAAATAAGGTTTAAATGATGGGTGATTACATATTTTTATCACCACTTACCTGATATATTAACAAGGCATTTAATGGCTTCTCTTCGTTGGGGTATGGTTAAAAAGAGAGCCAATTCCTGTTTTATATCATCTGTATCACCATAACACTGTCTGGCTACTACATGAAATACAACTGCAAGATACAAATAGAAATCACCATAACACTGTCTGGCTACTACATGAAATACAACTGCAAGATACAAATAGAAATCACCATAACACTGTCTGGCTACTACATGAAATACAACTGCAAGATACAAATAGAAATCACCATAACACTGTCTGGATACTACATGAAATACAACTGCAATATACAAATAGAAATCACCATAACACTGTCTGGCTACTACATGAAATACAACTGCAAGATACAAATAGAAATCACCATTTGGTTTGCTTTATAACAATGAAAAAAAAGATACCTTACTATGTTACAATCTAGCTTTTACATGGAGTACTAGGCTTATACCTACATTATCATATAGAAGAATATGAGGGGATTTGATTGAAACTTTCAAAACTATAAATGGCCACTATGATAAGGAAGTAAGCTTCTTTTTGAAAATGGCAGAGGATACACAACAAAGAAACAGTAGCAACAAAGAAACAGTAGCAGGACAAATAGTAACAAAGTAGTCCATCAAAGATTTCAATCCAATATCCGCAAACACTCATTCTCTGTTAGAATAGCTAGAACCTGGAACAAACTGCCAGATAAAATTACCAAAGCCCCCTCCATAAATGCCTTCAAAAAATGACTAGATAGATATTGGTCTGATGAAGAGATATATTACAATGACTATAGAGCAGCAGTCACAGACTAAATAGTATACAATACAATTTAAATTATGAGTCTGGTGAAGCTTGAGTAAGTATTTTAAAATAACCAAAATGTCCTTAAGACTTTTTAGTGTAACAAAAAATTGCAAGATAACAAATTCAATCTGATACATATAATGTGCATTTTCAAATATTCATATTTCATGTCAGTGGTGTAGAAATGTTTGAAATATTTGAAATCAAAACAAAGGTGTATCTGAATTTAATTCAATGCACTATTTATTATTTTGATGAATAAAAAAATTGGCTTGTTGATGTAATAATTTCTGCAGAAACAGAAAATTTTCTCTGGTTTTGGTAAAATAATAGTCACAGAAAAATGTCTCGGAACTCTAAACAATAACCTTATGGATAAGTTATCAAAATTCATATTGACGATGCTATTTTATATTTTTTTACAATCTTACCTCTTTTTTTCTAAATAGAAAGCCACTTACATATTTCCCTGTTAGATGTTGCCACAATTTTCTCATTCCTGACAATTATCATGTATTTAACATCAGCTATAGATAGAATAAAACTACATTTTAATAATTATCCACAATTTCAACTAAAAACTGCATCTGGCAATGCAATAGAATGATAAAGTACAAACCAGACATAACAAATAAACATGTGTTGACATGCTAAGCATAGCCCACTTGTAATTCAAAGCATATAAAACAAAAAGTACTGGTGTTCGGCAGATCACATATCTAAACTCATCACTATCAAGCTGCTGATCAAATATGAAGTCAATCTGTTTATAAGTACTTGAGAATTGTTTGACAAAAATTTTTAAGTTTACTTAACATATAGAACTATTCAAAGTATCAGCAAATAGGAAGTTGTTGTCTGACAGATCCAAAAGGTTCTCACACATTACAACTCATCACTGTCAATCTGCTAACCAAATATCAAGTCATTCTTTTCAATAGCACCTGAGAAAAGTGAAACGGAAATATTTGTTGGATGGGCAGACAGAGGAACAAAGTGTTTGTAATACCCTCACTCTTATAGTGGGGTTATAGCTATAACAATAATTACTTATATATTTTTAATTTTTATTAATCATTCTGTATAAAGCAGCTACGTAAAATAGACCTTGTAAACAGAAAATTACCTTCCTCCTTGACTCTATCATAAGTGTCTAAAAGTATACCATCTGGAGACCATAGGTGTAGTTTCTCACCTCCAGATATGAAACATTCATTTTGCAACAATAATAAACACTAAAATGGAAAAAAAAATTGAACATAGAATTTAAAATAGACTTCTTCAAATCTTTATTCTTATTTATTTCACAAATGAACATTTTTCAGAGACATTTAATGTTTTCCTTATTTCATATTTACTCTTATCACTGGCTATCAATTTTCAGATGTCTAGTGGTTTCCCAGACTCTTTTCTTCATCTCTATTTCACATGTCACAGAAATTTTGATGTCATAATGCTTCAGCAATTTTTATACGCCCGTTTACGGTATTATGGTATACCGTTGTCCGCCTGTCCGTCTATCGGTCTGTCCGTCGTCAACATGTCAGACATTAACTCAAAAATGCTTTAACCAATTTGCATTAAACTTTGGTGAATTGTTTATATCTATTGACATGAGCTCCCTTTTGTTTTTTATAAAATTTAGATCTTACGTTTCCTAGTAATGGGGTTTTATTCATTAAAAAAAGGGGGATTTTCCAGTTTTCAGACAATAAGTCAAGAATGCTTTCACCAACTTGCAAGAAATTGTAGTGAATTGTTTATATCTATTGACATGAGCTCCCTTTTGATTTTTATAAATTTTAGATTTTACATTTCCGAGTTACAGGGTTTTATTCATAAAAAAAGGGGGGATTTTCCAGTTTTCGGACAAAAACTCATAAATGCTTTCAGCAATTCTTATGAAACTTTGGTGAATTGTTTGTATGTATTGATGTAAGCTCCCTTTAGAATTTTATAAATTTTACATTTTACATTTCTGAGTTATGGGGTTTTCTTCATTAAAAAAAGGGGTGATTTTCCAGTTTTTGGACAATAACTCAAAAATGCTGTCACCTGCAATTCTCATGAAACTTTGGTGAATTGTTTATATCTATTGATGTAAGCTCCCTTTTTATTTTCATAAATTTCTAATATGACATTGAGAATTAATTGAACTTTATTTGTTTATACTCTGACAACAGATTTACTAAGTATTGCACAACAGCAAGAAATCTTTAATTGAATATAAATTCAATTCATATAACCAATTTCAAGTTCTTTGACTAAATTTATTCAGAAACTTATAATATGTCAAATATTTAATTACAATCCAAATTCAGACCTGAATCAAGCTTGAATATTGTGTCCATTTTTGCCCCAACAGTTCAGGGTTGGACCTCTGCGGGCGTATCTAGCTGCGCTCAGCAAAGCAGTTTATTAGATATTACGAACAGTTGATAATAGTTTTGTGACTTTGAGGAATTCTGTGAAGAACTGGTAATTAATGATCAACATACCTTTACTGAAGTGTTATGTTCTGTTATTGTTTGTAGACACAATCCTTGTTCATAGTCCCAGACCTGTTCCAATTAAAGTATTATAAAATCTATCTGTGCTTTGTTTATTTGGTTTCATCAATGCTAAAATGTGAATATATTCAATTCAAAAAATTTAACCATTCTTAGTTTTTATGTTGACTACAAGATTGACTGTGAGCTCCTTCTCACTAATGTTACCCAAGCTATAATAATTTGGTAAACAGAAAGTTGATAAGGGATAGATGTCAAAACAAGTCACATGGTAAAGCATGCTCACATGAAGCTTGATACAACATTTAGTAAAGCAGAGATGACTATTATATTTTCTATGTAAAAATGTAAAAATATTGTCTGACATTTACATTAATCTGTTCATTTTTTTATTTTCTATATTTAAAGAAATGGACATTGTTTGGTCGTGGCCCAAATACAGTATGAAAAGTGACATATAAAGTATTTTGAATAATATCGCTCTCTTATGCAGGATAAGAGGTGACAAATATTCAATAAGTTTATCAGTATGGTAAAAGAATAGGTTGCCAACTGATACCAAATTGAACTGTTACATATAAAGTATGTTGAATAGAACTGTCCTTTCATGCAGGATACCAGGTGACAATATCGGCATTCCATACAAATCTTGTGTAAGTTTAGGTTGCAGTCTTGTAATTGACTGCTCCATAGGCTTACATGCAAAACAGCTCATCTTTGAAAATAAAAAAATAAAAAATGCTACATAGAAAAAAAATTTCATGTTCATATCATGTATGTATTAATGTGAAATTGTGATTTAATCGAAAAAAAAGTGGGTCATGCCACGAAGAATAAAAAGTTATGTAACCCTGTTGTCAAAACAATTTTTTTCTACTTTCTGTTTGCTGTTTTTACTAGGCCGCACCACTTCCAGTAAACATGATATCCTTCCACTTTCTTGGATTGATATCCCCAAAAAGATGCAAGATTTTTTTTAAATCTATATATATGTTTGAATTCAGCATAAACTTTTAATCAAACAGAAAAAATTGAGTCCAGAAAAAAATTCTGAAAAAAATGGACTATTTTATTTACCTCCATGTTTTGACATGCACCGGAAACTGGAGTTGTAATACAAGACTGGTACCTATAACTATAATGACATGTCTTAAAAAAATAAATCATTTACTTAGTTTCATTAAGTAGCCATATTTGAACATAAAAAATGCCATTAAAAGAATTGTTTTGTTGTATTAATAAATATAATCCCACTATTAAAGGAGTACCCCTTTCTGAAAAAAGACAAAATTTGGAAATAAGTCATGCCTATCAAATGATCTGTAAATCTCATTCTACTCTATCTTTATGAATGTTTTCTTATTATTTGGGTACTGTAAAGCTAGAAGAGAATTCTTATCTATTATTTTTATTTTTTTCTTTCTATTTGATTGAACCACATTCAATAGTTTACCCCTCCCCCTTTTTTCCATGAAATCTACCCAAGTGGGCCTCTTGTTTAAGTCAAATTGAAAAACTACCCAAAACTTTTTCATATTGAAGAATTTGTTGCAATTCAACCATCTAAAGACAAGAACGACCATACCTTTCTCTTTTTTGACTATACATGTCTTTATACATGCCTACTATATGATGGTTTTTAGACTGTACTTGACACCCCAATGCATATAAACTTTGCAATAAAATTCAAGAAAAAACAAAATGAATACTCAAGTTAGTGTTTTTGGTAAGAATATTGATTACTTGTCACACCTAATCACAAAAATCCTTGTCATGATGGATAGTTTTAGAAAAATTCTACTTTTTAAACAAATTTTTAACCCAAATATTGAATTTTCAATTAACCATACAGTGCCGCAGACAGGAAAAGAAGTCATAGACTCTTGTAAAGTGAACATTTTGTGAAAATCTTTTCACCAAAAGTTCATTTTATACATATTCTACCTATATGTCAACTATTGAGCCATAAAAATAATAACCCTAAAGAAAAAAGTTACTTTTGTATGTAACTGTCCCTTCAACTTTACACTGATTTTCAATGAAACTGCGCAACTAGAATTTCCATCACAAGAAGAAGATTTTATAGAGGAAAAAATCTTTCTATGTTCTTTTTAATTAAAAATCATGTATGTAATACTACCAGAATCTCAATTTACCTCAAACTGATGTGCTTTATATCTATTTATACTTTTGAATGGTGTCTTGTATAAAAAATCATAATTATTACATAATTTAAGTTTTTTCATTGTAACTTGATACCCCATGATTTTTTTTTCTTAAAAAGTCCTTAAATCATGATGTTTTGTCATTCTGGGCACACAAAAGTCCACATGAGCTACTTCCTTGCAGTGAACATATGAAAAAATTACCCTATGCAGGTTGCAGTCTTGTAATTGACTGCTCCATAGGCTTACATGCAAAACAGCTCATCTTTGAAAATAAAAAAATAAAAAATGCTACATAGAAAAAAAATTTCATGTTCATATCATGTATGTATTAATGTGAAATTGTGATTTAATCGAAAAAAAAGTGGGTCATGCCACGAAGAATAAAAAGTTATGTAACCCTGTTGTCAAAACAATTTTTTTCTACTTTCTGTTTGCTGTTTTTACTAGGCCGCACCACTTCCAGTAAACATGATATCCTTCCACTTTCTTGGATTGATATCCCCAAAAAGATGCAAGATTTTTTTTAAATCTATATATATGTTTGAATTCAGCATAAACTTTTAATCAAACAGAAAAAATTGAGTCCAGAAAAAAATTCTGAAAAAAATGGACTATTTTATTTACCTCCATGTTTTGACATGCACCGGAAACTGGAGTTGTAATACAAGACTGGTACCTTTATCTGTATGGTAAAATGACTGATTGACAGGAAAGTATATTGGGAAATGCAATAGTAGGAATCAAATCTTTTATTTACAACTTTACTTACTAGTACCTCTTGAATTACAAGTGTCTCACCTTAATTTGTTTATCAGATGATCCTGTGACAAGTGCATATGGTGAACTATGAACCTTTGATTTAATTAATAAAATACATGTTATTGGACGAGTGTGGCCAGTTAAGACAGCAACCTTTACTCCAAGCTGAAATAGAGCAAACCATTTTAACATCCAGACTCATTTGTGTGTTAAAATTAATATCTTGGAACTGTTGGCTTTTGTTTTATATTGAATAATGACCCTATTATTATTTTACACTATTAAAATAGAAATTTATATACCAACAACATACAGTTTTTTAAGAAAAATCTATGTATTTGAAATTGGTGATTTGATGATTTTAAGACAAATTCAAGAATGTTTTTCACTGATTTTATGTGCTTTCTTTACAAATGTCCACCCATTTTGAAAGAATTCAATCAGTAATATTTCAGAAAATAAAAGAGACAGATGAATTATTTTTCCAATTTTCAGTTAAAATTTAACAAGCCAAAGTGGTATGCAAAATTTAAACAAAATCTGTGACATTGCCCATTTACTGTAACTTGACCTTAAATACCAACAATCAATCAATTCACTTTTACGTCAAAGGCTTTCACAAGATTTCTTGAAAATGAGCATGCAGTGATTTTGATTCATAGATGATCTTATATGAAATTCTCTCCTAACATTACTTCATTTTACCAGTAAATCCCATATAACAGCAGAATTGTCATCTGCCACTGATAAACATCTGAAAATATAAAGGAAAAAGACTTCATATAAAAAATTATACTGTTCACCAAATACAGCATATTCTAGCACATGAGGTTTCCATAGTACATGTATAGGGAGTTTTATTATTATTAAGGAATACTAAAAAGTTTGGTATGCACAAACAAATTATAGATAAACTGTCATATCCATACATGTTAATGTCTTCTGATTCTACTTTCTTTTCATAAGGAGAGACTACTGTCTGAAAGTTCAATGGTATCATTGCTGACATTACATACATTTATTTATAATGTAATTAATTTTTTCAATTATGTGAATTTTAGCCCATTGCTTGAAAATAAGGTTTTTAAATTACATAAATGAAGCAGGGGAAAGAATTTCTAGCATGCATATATATAGGTCCCCAGACTATTGAAAAAATTAAATTCAGACATTTTTACATGCAATTCTAAAACAATAGACAAAAATGCAAGACTAATTATTATTATTTCAGGAAATGCTGCATACAACTAATGCTACCAATATTAAAATGTGAGGTGTTAATTTTGGTGAAATCTATTACAATTTTCACATAATGAAACATCACAAAAATTTCTGAATATACAGTGATTTTAAAGAATGAAAATACTTTTTACTTTGTTGTATTCAGTTTCCCTACTTCTACTTCAGAAAATCTAGTTCTGCTTTATGTTCTGTTAATATTAATATGATTGTTGTTACCTAGACTTTGCATCTTAAACTAAGAAGAGTGTTGCATCAGCTAGTAAAATTTTAGTTTCAAAAGTAATGTATTTAAGTTATATTTTTTTCTTCTTTTTCATTTGAATAGCTTTATAAAAGTCTATTTTCCTAAATAATCAACGCTTCTGTGTGTGTAAGATAGCATACCTCCTCCTATCTTACTTATGACATGTTTGTTCCTTACATCTTTATTACAAGATAACATACCTCCTCCTATCTTACTTATGACACATGTGTTCTACACACCTTTATTACAAGATAACATACCTCCTCCTATCTTACTTATGCCATGTTTGTTCTTTACATCTTTATTGCAAGATAACATACCTCCTCCTATCTTACTTATGGCATGTGTGTTCTACACATCATTATTACAAGATAACATACCTCCTCCTATCTTACTTATGACATGTTTGTTCTACACATCTCTATTACAAGATAACATACCTCCTCCTATCTTACTTATGACATGTGTGTTCTACACATCTTTATTACAAGATACCATACCTCCTCCTATCTTACTTATGACATGTGTGTTCTACACATCTTTATTACAAGATAACATACCTCCTCCTATCTTACTTATGACATGTGTGTTCTACACACCTTTATTACAAGATAACATACCTCCTCCTATCTTACTTACTTACATGTTTGTTCTACACATCTTTATTACAAGATAACATACCTCCTCCTATCTTACTTATGGCATGTGTGTTCTACACATCATTATTACAAGATAACATACCTCCTCCTATCTTACTTATGATATGTTTGTTCTTTACATCTTTATAGAAAGATAACATACCTCCTCCTATCTTACTTATGCCATGTTTGTTCTTTACATCTTTATAGCAAGATAACATACCTCCTCCTATCTTACTTATGCCATGTTTGTTCTTTACATCTTTATAGCAAGATAACATACCTCCTCCTATCTTACTTATGACATGTGTGTTCTACACATCTTTATTACAAGATAACATACCTCCTCCTATCTTACTTATGCCATGTTTGTTCTTTACATCTTTATAGCAAGATAACATACCTTCTATCTTACTTATAACATGTGTGTTTTTTACATCTTTATTGCAAGATAACATACCTTGTCCTATCTTACTTATGACATTTGTGTTCGACACATCTTTATTACAAGATAACATACCTTCTCCTATCTTACTTATGATATGTGTGTTCGACACATCTTTATTACAAGATAACATACCTTCTCCTATCTTACTTATGACATTTGTGTTCGACACATCTTTATTACAAGATGCCATACCTCCTCCTATCTTACTTATGATATGTTTGTTCTACACATCTTTATTACAAGATAACATACCTTCTCCTATCTTACTTATGCCATGTTTGTTCTTTACATCTTTATTACAAGATAACATACCTCCTCCTATCTTACTTATGATATTTGTGTTCTTTACATCTTTATTACAAGATAACATACCTCCTCCTATCTTACTTTTGACGTTTGTGTTCGACACATCTTTATTACATGGGAAAGGAGCACATAATATTACAATACAAGATAACATACCTCCTCCTATCTAACTCATGACTTGTGTGTCCTATACATCTTTATTACAAAATAACATACCTTCTCTTATCTATAACAAAGACTTGTTTGACTATATCTGTATGATGTTGTAATAAAGTCAACTCAGTGTATGAATTGTCTTCTTCATTTTCTATTGTTGGTACAAAGTCCTTCAAAGATAAAAACAAAAGGTTTTGTGGAATTCATACACTTTATAATTACAACATGTTCAAGTTTATTAATGCAGACAAAGCTTTTACATAAAATCTGTTTATGAATCCATTTCATTTGTTCCAAGTTCCAAATAAGGTTCAGAGGTCAATATAAAGCATGCAAAGCAAAAGCCATTTAAGACAAAATAAATAAGTGATTTAGGAACATACCTTAACTTGAAAAAGTTACCTGCTAATTGGAACATGAAAATTAGGTACTGGTCATATATGGCAACGATTGGATGGCAAGATCCCATTATGAAAAAAACATCTATACATTTTTTTATCTTATGTGACAGTGGATAAAAGATATTTGTACATTATATCAAGGATTTGTATAGTAAACTTACTATACAAATCTTTGATTATGTGCAAATTTTTAATGCTGATGTCTCCAGAAAAGTAGTACCATCATGAAAGATTTATATTTTCACTATTTAAATCATATGTTCTAACTTCTATTGTTAACTACATCAGTACATTCAAGGTGATATATGGTAATGTTTGATAACAGCTTTGGTCATCAATCACAATTCCTCAAAGGGATCATAAAGGACATTAAAGGGAAAATTCACGATTTTTTACTTATCATCTTATTATGTTCATAATACCATAAAAAACATATTCACCAAGTTTTATCTGGATATGAATAATAAAGAAGAAAATTGTGAATTATTTATTTATTTATTCGAACTTCCTGACTTTTGCGACATAGTTTAAGTCTAATTGCATGCACGGAGTGGAATTAATCTCATTTTAAGTCTTGTTCGTTAATCATCTAATAACGCGATTTAAAGCGCATCAACGACTATTTGGCGTAGCTATTAACCTGATATGTCTTACTATGGAAATTCTGGCAATCAACATGATACCATTGGTTGCAGGTCTTACAGACAATAACTCTGTGTTCCCAAGTTTCAGCATCAGCCCATGTGCCACATATGTACCTTTTGCTATCTATTGTTACTTAAAATTACAATGGTAATGTTGGAAAAATTGATTTTGCTTTGGTTTACAGATCCTCAGTGCAAAGCCTATAGAAATAGAAGTAGAAATACACCAATCTCGAGTTTATTTTTATGAATGCGTTACAACGGTTGACCCGAGGTTTAAACAACGTCATCAAACAATCTGTTCTTACTGTGACGTAAAAACAAAAGCATTGTGACATAGGAAATTTATGTTAAAGTGCAAGAATTTGAAAGTCGTCTATAGAAATTCTATATCCTATACCACAGCGAAGCATTTTTGGAAGGAAAAGGATCAGGATCTGCGACTCTTTTCACAAAAAATCTTACGATTAAATTTGATCGTAAGTTATACTGAAATGTGTATGACTTACGAGTATTTTTACTCTTAAGTTTTTTTGTGAAAAGAGCCGCAGGATCTCAGTGTTATATTTGGCATATTAAAAAGGATTGTGTCCAAGTTTCTTTCAGTATGTTTTTTTTTAAATATTTGAAGATTACATGATCAAAGAGATGCATAATGTTTAATAAAATTATTCTTTTTTCAACCCCTCCCTTGTTCAAAATCCTGAATCTGCCAGTGGCAGTGTTTAAAAACTATAAGTTTATTCACATCTGATTAAGGTAAGTTCACAATTGTTTCAACATATTATTGTCGAACCTCTTTCTTAGTAGCACCGCCTCCTTTAAATAATCTTTGTAGAAACGACATCAATCCATCAATCCGAAAGTGAAAATAGAGTTATCTTCCCTACGCTGGGTCCCTGTCGAGTTTACTTCTCTGTCTACTACGCGCCACAGTCGAAGAAACAGAATTACGAATTTGTGCAAAATCACTTGCCGGCGGACCCGTTAAACACTGAAAAATGGAATGTTTAATTGGAATACAGGTTGTTAAATTAATCTGCAGCAATTCATATGAAATTTTCCGATGCAATGAACCACCATCAACAGCATCCAATGAATAATTAGCTCTGAACACAATGAAAATCTTTACACAAATCATCATTTTTATTAACACACATTTATTACACTAAAACCGACGTTTCAGTGATCGAAAACAGTCCTTCCTTGTGTGTGATACTTACAAGAAACAGTATGAAAGAAACTTAAATTCCAAACACTGTGTCCAGAACAACTTTAGTTAAAAAAAAAGGGGGGAATGTTACTAAAGGTTTTATAGATAACTTTCAAATTAGTGCATTTTCCTGTACATTTGCAATGTCACAATGCTTAGGTTTTAACATGACGTCTCAGTAAGAGTCGTTTGTTCATTTATTTCATTTACATTTATTGACTGGGGTCAACGTGTATCTCGTTTGAGAAAATTTTTTTGAACTTTGATATGGCATTGGTTAGTCGGAGGTTGCTCTGACGTCCAACAGCTGTTTTGCCAGACAACCTACGGGCACACGGTCCAAGCTTGTCTGGCAAAACAGTCGTTGGACGTCAGAGCAGGAACATACATATTGACGGGACTTGACACTACCTGATTATAGCCGATTTTATCGTCGGGTCATAGTTAATAAATGACACCATACGGTAATGGACATGTGTCAAATACGTTCTCACTATTATCTTAATAATTTCTGATAATATCAATAAAATGTCATTCAAACTAAGTAATAAGTGATGCCAGTGTATCGTACTTGTAATCTGTCACTTCAAATTTTTCATAGTCGCATTCATTTCATCACAGAAGGGTACAGAATGCAAACAGGGTTGTAAAAAAAATGTCACCGATGGCATGCCCAGTAACCGCCAATTTCACAAACCATTATAAAACACTTCACGTCAAATAAATCACACTTATAATTTTAATTGACAAAATATATCAATTCATTCTATTTGTTGACCATTTGGAATTATGTGGTTAATTTATTGAGCAGTTCAATAAGACGCTTCCAAAGTCCATAAATCTCGCTAAGTCTTGTAAAGTTCGAGATTTTATCAATTTTATACTGAAAAGCCTATCAGATTCATTTCCCGTTAGATATACTGTTTCCCAGGTCAGAGCAACCTCAGACTAGGTATTGGTCTACATATCAAAGGTTTTATGGGGGTAGCTCGAAAGACCGATTGACAGACTACATAATGGCAAAATAAAAATACTCATGATACTCTCAGACAAATAATTATATAACAGTCCAAAAAACACTACACAGAAAAGTAAAAATTGAGCAACACAAACCCAACCATAAACCAAATTGTGAAATTGTCATCGTATATTTGTTCCTTCTTGGAGAAGCTTGTCTGAAAACTTAGCTTTAAACATTACAATAATATCTGTTCCTGTTGGGACATGAATTTTATAGCCTTTAGATATCCTTTTAGGAGCAAATACTGTTATATTTCTACCAGTGGGAATAATATTCCAGGTAACCGTCCTTCCTATATCACCCTGCTCAGTCGCTCTGTTGTTCTCAGAACTGACCAGACATTATCAGCAACTATATAATGTGTGAGCTTCCTTTCATCAAGTGTAAAACTGTCTAAGGGCGGGGAAAAAAACAGTATTAAAACGATATACAGATTAGGCCAATTGAAATTATTTGGAAGATTTTCATCCCTGCCACTCCTCTGAAATCGTCCCACCCTGATTTATTTTATTTAAAAAAAATTACGATTTGCGAATATTAACACGGTTTTCGTATTTCTTCAAGTAGTTTAACCAGAATTATTAAGTCGATTTACCATGTGAGTAGGTTAGATTGATTACAGGAAGGGCCTGAAATATTCAGTTTACTGTTAATTAGCGCTGTAAAAAACCTCAAATCCCGGTACGTCACAAATTTCAGTGATTAGAAAACTGTGGATTTTTTTAATTTATGCAATGGCTTTGTGTCAGTAAATTTGATTTGGGCCATAAACCCCCATAAATGATATCCAAAGCACAAGAATCTTGACACACATTGGTATGATCAAACATGATTGGAGTAAAGAAATTGACCCTAGCTCAAAGTTTTGCAATATAATTTACACTGTTTATGATTCGTATATTGGAGTACAAAAGGTTGGCCAAACTGCCCTTATTTGTTGACAAAAACACAACATCCTCAGTCCCCAGCCACTCAGTAATGTAAATAAACAACTTTTTCTTTTGGTTCAATGTTTTTAGGTTGATGCATTGTGCATGAAAATGTTCAAAGCATTAAACTTAATATTCTCTACACAGTTTAGATTTTCATCTATGTTCAATCTGTACTCTAAATCAGACCAATGTGTACCATGATTCTTTCTCTTATGATATCATTCATTTAGGGGGAGGTAAAAAAATCTGATATGGATGGTTATTATTGCAAATTAGCTGACAGGCTTATATGGTGTTCCTGAAACTTGATATTTTATGATATCAATTTTGTAGAAAACCTGATAATCTATACATATTTCTTCCATTTGAAACTTATATTTGAATCAATGTCATCAGTCAGGGGTACAACTTAAAACAAGTGATTTCAGAATCACTTCTTCAAGTGATTTTGGCTGTGAAATATTAAAAATTTTCACAAAAATAGACACAGACTTTTTATAATCACTGAAACAAGTAATTTGAGAAGTTAAAATGTAATCACTTCAACAAGTGTTTATAAACATTTTCTTGATATTTTTCCCACAAGCTTGCTTTTTTTGTTGGTAAAAAGACAAGAATTCCATTGAAAAAAACAACTATGTACATGCAGAAATTGTCTTTTGCTTGATTAGCCTGTCAGTTTTTACAGTTTATTTAAAATATGCAAAAACTGGAATAATTTGTAGATCAGGACATAACCTTGAAGTAGATCATTATAACTCTAAAGAAAACCAATCAGGTTACCTAATATTGTTGACCTTTGTCTGATAGTAAGAGTAGTTAATGAATATTTGATTATAGAAAAATTCCCAAGGGTACTTTTAAAAGCTTTAGCACACTAACTTACTGTCCAAGCGCACTGGTGAAATTGAAATACAAAAGAAAGGGATAATTAGTTCTATGTAGGAAAATTAATGAAAAGTTTGTCAAAATATGGAAAATCAATGAAATTAGCAATTGAAGATCAAAGGAAACACCAAAATCACTTAAATAGGTGATAACTGAATTTATCAAATCACTGAAATAGGTGATAATGAAATCTCTTGTTTAAGTAGTACCCCTGACTGGTCATAGATATGATGATTTAGCACTGTGTCTGCCTTTCTCCCAACAGGGTTATAACTCCGTCCCATTATCACCGATGGATGAAAAGTTAACTCATTTTATATTAAGGCAATATTTTGAATTTTGATGAAATTGTGTATGCATTTAGAACTCATTGAACTGCATGTGAAAAGCAGATAAAAATGATAGTATTTACAATTGTATAATAATATAAATAAGGAGATGTTGTATGATTACCAATGTCGAATGAGATTCCAAATAATGAGGATGTAAGCAACTATAGGTCACTGCATGTCCTTCAAAAATTAGCAAAATATAAACCTATACACATATAGTTTATAGCTATAAAAAGACATGACAGGATCACAAGGACATGTAAAACAACTATTACAGCTGAGCATTTTTTTAAAGAAAATTATTCTCCATGTTATATGTGGCACATTAAAAAGGACTATGTTCAACTTTTCTTCCAGCATGTTTTTATATTTATGGGTTACATGATAGAAGTGAGCATTAGCTTACAGTATGCTAAGAAAATACATAATGTTTAATTAGATTATTCTTTTTTCAATTCATTAAGATTTATTCTATTTTGTTCACTTTACGCTGAATGATATAAAAGAAATAAAAACATCAACCATGTCAACAGCTCATAATTTAAACATGTTAAAAGCAAAATTCCCTCAAAAATCAAAGTGAGGTTTACAAAATGGGCAAAATTATGTTTTATTGCCCCCGCCGTAGCGGAGGGGGCATTAAGTTTTACCCGTGTCCGTCTGTACATCCCAAAATTTGTTTCTAATCTCAAACTTAAGTTTGCCTAAACCAAATGTTGTGAAACTTATACACAATGATTATAACCACAATACACAGATCAAGTTTGAATTTTGGTGTCGTCACTTTTTCTGTTCTAGAGTTATGCCCCTTTACAAATGGAAAAGTTGCTGAATTTTTCGTTTCCGTTCTCTAATTTAAGTTTGCCTTAACCAAATGTTATGAAAATTATACACAATGTTTATTACTGCAAAATCAGGATCAAGTTTGAATTTCACATTTCTAGAGTTATGCCCCTTTACAAATGGAAAAATTGCTGAATTTTTCGTTTCTGTTCTCTAACTTAAGTTTGCCTCACCAAATGTTATGAATCATATTCACAATGCTTATAACCACAAAACACAGATCAAGTTTGAATTTTAGGGGTGTCACTTTTACCTTTCTAGAGTTATGCCTCTTTCAAATGGCAAAATTCTGAATTTTTCTTTTCCGTTCTCTAACTTAAGTTTGCCTCAACCAAATGTTATGAAACTTTTACATAATGCTCATTACCACAAAACTCAGATCAAGTACGAATTTGGGTAGCGTCGCTTTTACCGTTCTTGAGTTATGTCCCTTTATAACAATATATGCAAGAGGGGGCATCATCTGTGTCCCATGGACACATTCCCCATTTATTTTATGAAATGAGTAAATGACTTATAGGGATGAAATATTAAGAGTATATGACTTATAGGGAGGAAAGAAACATTTATTAATTTATTATACTTCATGTTAAAATGCCAGATTTTGATTGGTTAACTTTATCCCATGGCTCAGTGCGAGACAATTTTTTGAATGTCACCCTCTTGTGCAGACCAATAAAAAGTAAATAATTTTAAGTACATGAATTGTCATCAATAATTTTAAAGACAATGCTCAAGTTCTACGTTTCTCCCTCAGACTTTTTTCATAGATTGTCAACATAAAAAAAAATGCGTTTTTGTTTACTTTTGTTGTTTTTCAAACATATGTAGTTACAGTTGACTTCATAGTCAATTACTTTCAATTTACTATTTTTAAAGACAATGATGACAGATTATTCAGTAAAATAAATTAAAAAACACAAAGCGTTGCCTAGGTTGACATTGTTTTCTCGGGGTAACAATCTGCTCCATCACCCACTTAGCTATGTGTTATTTAAATTTATTATACTTCAGGTAAAAATGCAATATTTTGATTGGCTTATACGAGGGTGTTAATTTACTCTATCCTATGGCAAATACTCTATTACCCTTCACGGAGACGCTTGATCAAGTGTGCGCTTTATTAAATACAAATGGTTGTTATGTACAAGACGTCAAAGTTTATTACTTTGAATTTGAAATTTAATCGACAGTAATAACAAAACATTCAGTATAATGAATAAATAACACATATCTGAGAGGGTGATAGAGCAGATTGTTACCCCTCAAAAAGACATTGTCAACCTTGGCTTCGCCTCAGTTGACAATGTTTTCTCGGGGTAACAATCTGCTCTATCACCCTCTCAGCTATGTGTTATTTATATAATGATAAAACTACAGTCCTCTTGTACCATGCAATGCTGTACAGTAACATTTGAATCACTTTGATTTACATTTCATATTTGAATGGTATTTGTTAAGTCTTGTGTACGGCTTACTAGAGGGTCGTAAAAGGGGAGGGGTTTGGTCTATTTGCACAGACAAACAGTAATAATACCGCCATTTCACTTTGCTTTTTTCCGAATTTGCATGAAACACAGTGAATAATGGGCTTCAAACACAATGACATGAAATGAAAATTGCAAACGTGCACAATAACAACCCTTTTCCACCCACTTACTAGAATGTTCACCAGAAAACCTCATTTACAGACATGAAGTCAACCACAGATATTAAGATATATAATACAGATATCTTTTATCTGTCATAATCTGTGTAAGTAAAGTAACCTTGTAGTCTGGTTAACACTAATTGAATGGAACTTTTTTACAGGGGAAAGATTTTGTGGTCACAGCTGCAGATACAGCAACAGCCAGAAGTATAGTCAGCATGAAACATGATACAGACAAGATGTTCAAGTTAGGGGGAAATTTAATGATGTTGGTTAGTGGAGAATCAGGTGATACTGTCCAGTTCGCAGAGTATATGGAAAAGAATATACAGTTATACAAGATGAGAAACGGTTATGAGCTGTCTCCTGATGCTGCTGCCAACTTTATCAGAAAAAATTTAGCTGATTATCTGAGAAGTCAGACCCCTTACCAGGTTAACTTACTGCTAGCTGGATGTGACAAGCAAACGGGGCCATCACTATATTTCATGGATTACTTAGCATCTATGAATAAATGTCCATTTGCAGCACATGGTTATGGAGCTTTTTTCTCCTACAGTATATTGGATAGAAATTACAGGGAGGATATAACTGAGGCTGAAGCTGTGGAATTATTGAAGAAATGTATAGATGAGATACAACTGAGATTCATCGTAAATTTACCATCATACACTGTACGTGTGATAAATAAAGACGGAATCAAAGACCTGCCAAACATATCTCCAAAGAGAATCCAAGTATAAACACATTGATCTGAACATGACCTTTCTTAACTAGTAATGTTTCCATCTTAAATGTTAGTTGTCATATTGATCATTACACAGTTTTTTTCATGCTTGACTTAAACTCTTCATTTGCCATGTAACCGCCTCGGTGGTCTTGTTGTAGCGTGTTCGCCTCAAGTGTGGGAGGTCATGGCTTCGAACCAAGGCCAGGTCAAACCAAAGACTTTCAAATTGATATTTGCTGCTTCTCCGCTAAGATGCAGCATTAAGGAGTAAGAGCAAAGACTGGTCTGCTCGGGGTTAGAATAATGTGTCCCAGTAAGGTGACATGTTTTCCTGCGGACTGTAACCTTGTCAAATAGCACGTTAAAAATCCAGCTCAGCGAGTTGGTCTCATACAAAGCAGGGTTCATATTCATATAACATTAACATGTTCTCGTCCTGAATATGCATATTAATTTGCTGCTGGACATTGAGCAGCCATCCATCATCATCATCATTTGCCATGTACTATAAGAAATAGTACTTTTTGCGTTTTACCCAATTATGATTCTGTTTTCAGTTGCGGTCCTTAAAAGTGTCTCTTCTCATATTTACAATGTATTTAAGATTTGTTTCATTTACCAAATTGTTAAATATAATAAAGGAGATGTGGTATAATTTCCAATGAGAAAACTATCCACCAGAGACCAAATAACATATTTGTAAGAACTGTAAGACAACGTACGGCCTCAAAAATTAGCAAAACCCATGTATGGGAGCGGCCAACCCTCAACGTGAGCTGGGACAGTGTTACAATAGCACAACAGAAGAACAAACTGTAAAAAACAATAAACAAACAAAAAACAGCAATGAAAGATAACCACAGAATTACAGATTCCTGACTTGGGACAGGCACATACAGAATGTGGATGAGGGGGGGGGGGGGGGGGGGGGGGGGGGGGGGGGGGGGGGTTAAACAGGTATGCAGGTGCCCAACTTTTGCATAACTATGGACAGTGGTGAAACAGCACAACATAAAAACAACCTATAAAAATAATTTAAGAAGGCCTGAACTCATCAGATTGATATAAAGCTCAAAAACAACTAACAACTAGACAAAGTGATGCCCCCGCACTCCACTCTGAAGTAACTGTATTATAACAAAGTCAGTGTAGGACTTTCTTTGAGATATTATTGTGTCTGGGAGACACAAATGATGCCCCTGCAGATGCAAAGTGTAATTTTAAAATACACAAAGTTGAGCATGGGAGCACATAGGTCTATGTTCACTGTAGGAGGAGTTATCCGGAAACGCTATTATGCAAGTATATACTCAAAAAATTACAATGTTCAACTATCTCCCAAAAGAGCAAATATTAATAGAAATCAAAACCCTGACCACATGCACACCTTCAATATATGTACAAACAGCCAGCAGAGTAAAAACTTCCTAGCATTCAAACTGTAGGAGTAATCCGGAAACGCTATGCACCTCTTATGCAAGTAAATACTCCAAAAAATGACAAAAGTTGAACTATATCCCAAAAGAGCAAATATCAATAAAAATCAAAACCTGGATGTTGTCTATTAATAAACATATATTTAGATTTCTGATTTTGGGCCCAGTTTTCAAGTTGGTCCAAATCGGGGTCCAAAATTAAACTGTGTTTGATTTCAACATAAATTGAATATATATAGGGTTCTTTGAAATGCTGAATCTAAACCTGTATTTATTTTCATTATTAATTAGATCTTACCACATTGAGGTCCAAAGGGTCCTAAATTAAAATTTTGTTTAATTTCATCAAAAATTGAATTCTTGGGGTTCTTTGATATGCTGATTCTAACAATGTTTTACTGGTTAAATCATATCTAATTTTATTGATTATAATTTGAAAATAGATGTAACATCATATCTAATTTTAGAGAACTATTTTTTAGTGGTTAAATCATATCTAATTTTAGAGAACTATTTGTATATCATTTATTCAGTTTGAGTTATTTCCCTTTGAACAGAAAATTAATAAGTATATAGATAATATTAAACTGTAGTTCATGTCAACATAGATTAAATATATATAGGGTTCTTTCAAATGCTGAATCTTAATCTGTATTTAAATATTGGAATTTTGGGCCCAGTTTTCAAGTTGGTCCAAATCAGGGTCCAAATTAAACTTTGTTTGATTTCAACAAAAATTTAATTTAAGGGGTTCTTTGAAATGCTGAATCTAACCATGTATTTAGAGATTTTGGATTTTGGGCTCCTTTATCAAATTGGTCCACATTGAGGTCCAAAGGATCTTAAATTAAACATTTGTTTGTTTTCATCAAAAGTTGAATTCTTGGGGTTCTTTGATATGCTGATTCTAACAGTGTACTAATTGTTCAGGGTTCGACCTCTGCAGGAAATCCGGTTTGCTGTCACTCTGACAGACTTGTTATATTTCCAAGCAATTGGCCCTGGGTGTACCTTATCAGGGTTATTCTTAAAACATGGATTGTGCACACAGATTCATATCATATATTATTTGCACAGAATATATGTATTCAGGCTTCTTCAGACAGGATTAAGACAGTTGAGAATTTGTCCAGACAATATCAAAGTTAAAACTGTTAAGAATGGTTGAGACAAACTCAGATAGTGTTCAGACTATTAAGAACATGTTGAGACTAATTCAGACAGTGTTAAGAATGTATTGATACATATTTGGACAATGTACAGACACAAAGTTGAGAACAATCTGAATAATTAAAGAAAATTATAAAGACAGTTGTGAAAAATTCAGATAAAAATTGTTTTATATTGAATCCGATATCTTTGTACTATGATCTGGCTATTATGAGGTTTTGCTATTTCCTGTCATTATGTCATTGTCCATCTTCTGTCTCAAACTTTTCAAAGATCCTCCTTTGAAACTGCTTAACCAATTCAATCAAACTCCCTGTATTTGGTCCTAAGATTTTGTTTTAGACAATAGTTTATGAATTATATGAAGGTCCATCAATCCAAGTGACTGCCATGGCTAAAAAAACAGGTTTTTTAAATATACAAGTAATTGTCTAATATGAAAAGCATAACAGATAGAGAAAATCTGATGGAGCAAAATTTTTCCAAAGTATAAGGTTTCTTATTCCATTTGTATTGAAATTGTCAGATGACAATTTATAGGAATTATCGCCCTTATATTACATTTTTGACACATTTTAACATTTTTGCCTTCTATCTGGAAAACTATAAATAATGTTAGGGTTTGGGTGTTCCGAATGAAGGTAAATCAAGAAAAGCTCTTTAAACACACAAAATTTATAAAGTTTTATTTTTATTTATTGCAAAGGAAACAAGTGTGGACACAGATGAATGTGGATAGTATGTTTGGATGTTTGACAGTGTTTTATATGACAAAAGGAGTTCTATGTTTTTCCTATATGGTGTTATTAACTGTGTTGCACGATGACAACCAACCTGAGCATGAGGAGTGTTGTTTATTTAATATTTAGATTAATGTTCAAGAGGGCATGGAAGAGACACTAATTGCATTAATTACCAAATGATTATGATAGAATATTGTCCACATCTTTGATTTTGGATACATTTTGTAGCTAGGAGAGCAACACATAATAGGTTCATTTTTTCATGTGATATTTTTTTAAATGGGAGATGATATCTGAGAACATGATATCAGGAGGCTGTATTTCAGTGGTTGTCGTTTGTCTATGTGTTACATAATATTTGTTTTTCGTTTATTTTGTGTACATAATTAATATAAAAGACTATGCGTTATGGGCTTTGCTCATTGTTGAAGGCTGTACGGTGACCCGTAGTTGTTAATTTCTGTGTCATTTTGGTCTGTTGTGGTGAATTGTCTCATTGGCAATCATACCACATCTTTTTTATATGTATTTGCTCACTATTTGTATGGTTCTATTTATATTACTTTGTGGTGGATTGTCAGTATCATTAGTAAAATATTTTGTTAAAATGTCGAAATTGTTTCTCAGATTAGAAGACATTTATTGGTTTTTAGTAATGACAATACCTGACATGATGCTTGGGGCTAGATGAGCTAGAAAGTAAACTTCTGTGTTGTTTTTTATCAGTTCTTTGATAACATCTCCAAAGCTGGCAGAAGCCAAAAAAAGTTTTGACCAATATGAAAATGATATCAACAAAAAAACCTTTGTGAGCATGCTTCAAAGACTCATAAGTTAACTGCTCCAAAAGTAATCTGATAGAATTTCAAGCATGTCAAGTGGGTATTATGAAAATCTACTTAATATGTCTAAATATCAAAAAAGTTATAGTATTCAATATGAAAAAGGTATTGCAAAATTATTCTCTTTTCAATTTTTTTTGTTATATGGATACAAATATAAGTGATACCAATACAGTATTTGTTGTGGTATGAAAGTGTAGTAATTAACATTTACTGTAACAATGTTAATTCACACAAATTAAGAAATAAACAAATGAATGAAAAATGTTGAACATGTACAATGAAATATAGTTTTAGAAATCAATTAGGCCAGATAGGCCTTATAAATTTTTTTTTTTTTTTAACATACTGAATGACCATTTACACTCAGGTCCGAGTCATCAGTAGGCAGTACAGATGTATTAAAACAACCTAGCATCATATTGCTAGTAGCGAGTGTAGCATTGTTGGGTAAATTTGTTCTTTTTTTTTAAATTTGGTTAATGGACAAAAAATGTTTGATTCAAATCATAATAAAATGCTTTTATCTCCTTATTACTTACATTGTACATAGAATGGATACTACCCTGACAAATCCTTGTACATGAGAGCTGTCTGTCAAATCTTTATTTCACAAAGAATGAATTGCATAACAATGAACTGAGCTCAAAGCAAAGCACTTTAATAATACACTTAGACAAAGAGCTCAATCCAGTGATATACTTTGTACTACAGGTTCTTCCTGAACATCCTATCCACCAAAACCATATCACACAAACATGCCATACTACATGGTTCGATCAGAAGTCCTGAAAAAGACATGAATTTTATTATCATATTTTAATTATATATACACAGGTTAAAAGTTATATACTCCAATGGCAGTCTTTCCTGCTAAAATGTCATGTGTACAATGTGATATACCATTTTTGG